CCCCCCCCGGGCAAACACGGCGGGGCCGAGGGGCAGCGCGGGGGGGCCCTGTCCCCTCCGTGTCCCCTCCGTGTCCCCTCCGTGTCCCCAGGGCCGGGGGCCCCGCGGGCCGAAGGTTGTCACCCGCGGTGTCACCGACCCTCGGCCCCCGGCGGGGGGACAGTGGGGACACCCCGGGCAAAGGGCGGCGGTGGCGCTGGCCACAAAAGGTCAGAGTCCCCCCGGTCACTGTGGGGATGGGGACAGTCCGGGGGACGGGGAGGCGACAGAGGGGACACGGGGAGGGGACAGTGGGCTGAGGGGATGGGGACAGAGGGGACACGGGGCGGGGACAGCGATGGGGCCCCAGGGGTGACAGCCGTGCCTGGGGGTGACAGCCGTGTCCCCAGGGGTGACAGCCGTGTCCCCAGGGGGTGACAGCCCTGTCCCCATGGGTGACAGCCGTGTCCCCGTGGGGTGACAGCCGTGTTGGGGGTGACAGCCCTGTCCCCGTGGGGTGACAGCCCTGTCCCCAGGGGTGACAGCCGTGCCTGGGGGTGACAGCCGTGTCCCCAGGGGTGACAGCCGTGTCCCCAGGGGGTGACAGCCCTGTCCCCATGGGTGACAGCCGTGTCCCCGTGGGGTGACAGCCGTGTTGGGGGTGACAGCCCTGTCCCCGTGGGGTGACAGCCCTGTCCCCAGGGGTGACAGCCGTGCCTGGGGGTGACAGCCGTGTCCCCAGGGGTGACAGCCGTGTCCCCAGGGGGTGACAGCCCTGTCCCCATGGGTGACAGCCGTGTCCCCGTGGGGTGACAGCCGTGTTGGGGGTGACAGCCCTGTCCCCGTGGGGTGACAGCCCTGTCCCCAGGGGTGACAGCCGTGCCTGGGGGTGACAGCCGTGTCCCCAGGGGTGACAGCCGTGTCCCCAGGGGGTGACAGCCCTGTCCCCATGGGTGACAGCCGTGTCCCCGTGGGGTGACAGCCGTGTTGGGGGTGACAGCCCTGTCCCCGTGGGGTGACAGCCCTGTCCCCAGGGGTGACAGCCGTGCCTGGGGGTGACAGCCGTGTCCCCAGGGGTGACAGCCGTGTCCCCGGGGTGACAGCCGTGTCCCCAGGGGTGACAGCCCTGTCCCCAGGGGTGACAGCCCTGTCCCCATGGGGTGACAGCCGTGTCCCCGTGGGTGACAGCCGTGTCCCCAGGGGTGACAGCCGTGTCCCCATGGGGTGACAGCCGTGTCCCCAGGGGTGACAGCCGTGTTGGGGGTGACAGCCGTGTCCCCATGGGGTGACAGCCGTGTCCCCATGGGTGACAGCCGTGTCCCCGTGGGGTGACAGCCGTGTCCCCAGGGGTGACAGCCGTGCCTGGGGGTGACAGCCGTGTCCCCAGGGGTGACAGCCCTGTCCCCGGGGTGACAGCCCTGTCCCCAGGGGTGACAGCCGTGTCCCCGCAGAGGTGTTCCCGCCGCAGCTGGAGGGGGTGAAGCTGATCGTCACCAAGACCCTGAGCAGCCACTTCCAGGTCGGGGAGGTGACACCGGGGGACACCGGGGGGGGGTGGCCGTGCGCGCCCCCTCCCCCCGCGCCGTCCCCGTCCCGCGTGACCGCGCTGTCCCCGCAGGTGACACACACGGTGCACATGAGCACCCTGGGCCCCTCGGGCTACCGCTTCAACGCCACCTTCGTGGGGGACCGCCAGCTGGGGCCCGCCGAGGTGACAGCGCGGGGGGGCCGCGGGTGGCACCGGCCTCGTCACCCTCTGCCACCCCTTCTGCAGCCTCGTGGTCACCCCCGGGCCACCAACGGGGCCTTGTGGCCGTCTGGGACACAAGGGTGGCCCCGGCGTGGGGGGTGGCCCTCTACCCTGGGTGGTCTCGGGGTGGTCCTGTGGCCTTGGGGACATTGGTGGCCTCGGGGTCACTGGTGGCTTCAGGGACATTGGTGGCCCCAGGTGGGCCCGGGTGGCCCTGGGCTCGTTGGTGGCCTCACCGTGGCCACAGTGCCACTGGCACGTCCCAGCCAGCCCCAGGCCGGAGCTGGGGACACTCGGTGGTGGCTCTGTGGCCGTCCCCATGTCCCCCTGTCCCTGTGTCCCTGTGTCCCTATGTCGCCTTGTTCCCTGTCCCTGTCCCCATGCTGTGCTGTCCCCAGGTGTTCTCTGTCCCTGTGTCCCTGTCCCTGTCCCCACGCAGCACTGTCCCCAGATGTTCCCCATGTCCCTGTCCCTGTCCCCACACCACGCTGTCCCCAGGTGCTCCCCTGTCCCCAGGTGTCCCCAGGTGTCCCCAGCTGTGTCCCCGTCCCCACACCACGCTGTCCCCCCTCACGCTGCTGTCCCCAGGTGTTCCCCTGTCCCCAGGTGTCCCCAGCCGTGTCCCCGTCCCCACTCCGTGCTGTCCCCAGGTGTTCTCTGTCCCTGTGTCCCTGTCCCTGTCCCCACGCAGCACTGTCCCCAGATGTTCCCCATGTCCCTGTCCCTGTCCCCACACCACGCTGTCCCCAGGTGCTCCCCTGTCCCCAGGTGTCCCCAGGTGTCCCCAGCTGTGTCCCCGTCCCCACACCACGCTGTCCCCAGGTGTTCCCCTGTCCCCAGGTGTTCCCCTGTCCCCAGGTGTCCCCAGGTGTCCCCAGGTGTCCCCAGGCATGTCCCTGTCCCCACTCCGTGCTGTCCCCAGGTGTTCCCCTGTCCCCAAGTGTCCCCAGGTGTCCCCAGCTGTGTCCCGGTCCTCACACCATGCTGTCCCCAGGTGTCCCCAGGTGTCCCTGTCCCTCATGCTGCTGTCCCCAGGTGTTCCCCTGTCCCCAGGTGGCCCCAGGTGTCCCCAGGCGTGTCCCCGTCCCCACTCCGTGCTGTCCCCAGGTGTTCCCCTGTCCCCAGGTGTCCCCAGCTGTGTCCCCGTCCCCACACCGTGCTGTCCCCAGGTGTTCCCCACGCTGCTCGGGGACATGGACAGCTCGGGCAGCCTCAACGCCCAGGCCGTGCAGCTGCTGGGCGAGCGCCTCCGCGCCAAGGCCGTGTTCCAGGTGAGCCGGGCGTGCCCCCGCCGCGCCCGCCGCGTCCCCGCGTGTCCCCCGCTGCCAGCGCCGCTGTCCCCGTCCCCAGACGCACCAGGCCAAGTTCGTGACGTGGCAGTTCGACGGCGAGTACCGCGGCGAGGACTGCACGGCCACGCTCACGCTGGGCAACCCCGACCTGCTGGGCGGCTCCGGTGAGCGTCCCCGAGGTGGCCCTGGCGCCGCTGAGGCCGCGCTGTCGCTGTCCCCGCAGTGATCGTGGTGGCACATTTCCTGCAGAGCGTCACCGCCCGCCTGGTGCTCGGCGGGGAGCTCGTGTACCACCGGCGGCCCGGCGAGGAGGGAGCCATCCTCACCCTGGCCGGGAAGTACTCGGGTAGGGACAGCCGGGGACAGTGGGGACACCTGGGGATGCCTGGGGACAGCTGGGAATGCCTGGGGACGGCTGGGGACACTGGGGACAGCTGGGGATGCCTGGGGACAGCTGGGACACCTGGGGGTAGCTGGGGACACCTGGGGATGCCTGGGGACAGCTGGGGACACCAGAGACAGCTGGGACACCTGTGGATAGCTGGGGATGCCTGGGGACACCTGTGGGTAGCTGGGGATACTGGGGACAGCTGGGACAGCTGGGAATGCCTGGGACAGCTGGGGACACTGGGGACAGCTGGGGATGCCTGGGGACAGCTGGGACAGCTGGGGATGCCTGGGGACACTGGGGGATGCCTCGGGAATGCCTTGGGGACACCTGGGGAACACCTGGAGATGTCTGGGGACAGCTCGGGATGCCTGGGGGACACCTTGGGGACATCTCAGGGACACCTGGGGACACCTGAGAATGCCTTGGGGACACCTTGGGTACACCTGAGGACACCTGGAGATGCTTTGAGGACATCTCGGGGACACCTTGGGGACACCTTGGGGACACCAGGGGGATGCCTTGGGGACACCTCGGGGACACCTTGGGGACACCTGTGGACGCTGTCTCTCCGTTGCAGCCCCGAACTGGGTGACAACGCTCAACGTGGGCTACGGCGGCGCCCACGCCAGCTACTACCACCGTGCCAACGAGCAGGTGCGTGTCCCCCAGCGTGTCCCAGGTGTCCCCCAGGGTGTCCCCGGTGTCCCCAGCCGCCGTGACCGCGCTGTCGCCCGCAGGTGCAGGTGGGGGTGGAGCTGGAGGCCAACACGCGGCTGCAGGAGAGCAGCTTCGCCTTCGGCTACCAGCTCAGCCTGCCGCGGGCCAACGTCGTCTTCAGAGGTGGGCGCGGCCCCCGCGGCTCCCGCGGCCGCTGTCGCCTGCTGGTGGCGCTCAGCTGTCGCCGCGGTGTCCCCGCAGGGCTCCTGGACAGCAATTGGAGCGTGGGAGGGGTCCTGGAGAAGAAGCTGCCCCCCCTGCCCGTGACGCTGGCGCTGGGCGCCTTCCTGAACCACTGGAGGAGCCGATTCCACTGCGGCTTCAGCGTCACCGTGGGCTGAGGGACAGCACGGGGGACAGCACGGGGGACAGGACAGAGGGACAGGACAGCAGGGACAGGACAGGGGACAGGACAGCACAGGGGACAGCACGGCGGACAGGACAGAGGGGACAGCACAGGGGACAGGACAGCACAGGGGACAGCACGGCAGACAGGACAGAGGACAGCACAGGGGACAGGACAGCAGGGACAGCACGGGGGACAGCACAGGGGACAGCGGGGACAGTGGGGACAGCAGGGACAGGACAGGGGACAGCACGGGGGACAGGACAGAGGGGACAGCACAGGGGACAGGATAGCAGGGACAGCGGGGGCAGTGGGGACAGCAGGGACAGGACAGGGGCAGGACAGCAGGGACAGCACAGGGAACAGGGCAGAGAGGACAGTGGGGACAGCAGGGAGAGGACAGAGGATGGCAGGACAGCAAGGACAGGACAGCAGGGACAGGACAGGTGACAGCAGGACAGCAGGGACAGGACAGCAGGGACAGGACAGCGGGGACAGCAGGGACAGGACAGCAGGGACAGGACAGCGGGGACAGCGGGTGAGTGGCACCGTCCTGCTCAGGGAGCCGCCAGGCCGGGCCATGCAGGTGCCACAGGGACCCGTGGGGACACGGCGGGCTGGGGACAGCGAGTGACAGCGCCACGGAAATTCCCACCCTGCTCCTCCCTGGCACGGCTCTAGGCTCTGTCCCCTTGTCCTGCCCCATTCCCTGGGATCACATCCCAAGCCCCCCCAGCAGATCCCAAATCCCCCCTGGTGATCCCAAATCCCCTTGGCAGATCCAAGTCCCCGCGGATCCCGGCTGCCCAGCTCCCTGAGCACGTGTCCCCGGTGTCCCGGGTGTCCCCAGTGTCCCCGGTGTCCCGGTTTCCCCGGTGTCCCGGGTGTCCCCAGTGTCCCCGGTGTCCCCGGTGTCCCGGGTGTCCCGGGTGTCCCCGGTGTTCCCGGGTGTCCCTGTTTCCCCGGTGTCCCGGGTGTCCCGCGTGTCCCTGGTGTCCTGGGTGTCCCCAGTGTCCCGGGTGTCCCTGGTGTCCCTGGTGCCCCGGTGTCCCCGGTGTTCCCGGTGTCCCAGGTGTCCCGGTTTCCCCGGTGTCCCCGGTGTCCCCTGTGTCCCGCGTGTCCCCGGTGTCCCGCGTGTCCCGGGTGTCCCGGGTGTCCCCGGTGTTCCCGATGTCCCCGGGTGTTCCCGGTGTCCCCGTGTCCCGGGTGTCCCGGTTTCCCCGGTGTCCCCAGTGTCCCTGGTGTCCCGGGTGTCCCGGGTGTCCCCGGTGTCCCGGGTGTCCCCAGTGTCCCCGGTGTCCCGGGTGTCCCCAGTGTCCCCGGTGTCCCGGTTTCCCCGGTGTCCCGGGTGTCCCCAGTGTCCCCGGTGTCCCCGGTGTCCCGGGTGTCCCCAGTGTCCCCGGTGTCCCGGTTTCCCCGGTGTCCCGGGTGTCCCCAGTGTCCCCGGTGTCCCCGGTGTCCCGGGTGTCCCCAGTGTCCCCGGTGTCCCGGGTGTCCCCAGTGTCCCCGGTGTCCCGGTTTCCCCGGTGTCCCGGGTGTCCCCAGTGTCCCCGGTGTCCCCGGTGTCCCGGGTGTCCCGGGTGTCCCCGGTGTTCCCGGGTGTCCCTGTTTCCCCGGTGTCCCGGGTGTCCCGCGTGTCCCTGGTGTCCTGGGTGTCCCCAGTGTCCCGGGTGTCCCTGGTGTCCCTGGTGCCCCGGTGTCCCCGGTGTTCCCGGTGTCCCAGGTGTCCCGGTTTCCCCGGTGTCCCCGGTGTCCCCTGTGTCCCGCGTGTCCCCGGTGTCCCGCGTGTCCCGGGTGTCCCGGGTGTCCCCGGTGTTCCCGATGTCCCCGGGTGTTCCCGGTGTCCCCGTGTCCCGGGTGTCCCGGTTTCCCCGGTGTCCCCAGTGTCCCTGGTGTCCCGGGTGTCCCGGGTGTCCCCGGTGTCCCGGGTGTCCCCAGTGTCCCCGGTGTCCCGGGTGTCCCCGGTGTCCCCGGTGTCCCCGCGGTACCCAGGGCCCCGTCGTGGATGGTGTAGCAGCGCTGGCCGCACTCCCAGGCCTTGGTGGCGGGGTTGAAGATGGTGTTGTAGCGGATCTGGCAGATCCCCAGCGTGGCTCCTTTCAGCAGCGAGATCTGCGCCTCCAGCGGCAAACTCCTGCCGGGAGGGGACACCGCGGCGACACGGCGACACGTCAGGGGGGTGGCACTGAGCGCCGCCCCGCCGCGTCCCCGCCCCGCGCACCTGAACACCGGGATCTCCTTGGCGAATTTGATCACCTGCTGGATCATGAACGTGCTCAGGTCCGCGAACTGCGGCAGCAGCGACAGCACGTCCGGCAGCGCCTCCTCGCACGGCGACAGCGACACCCCCGCGGCGACACCCGCGCCCGGAGGGCTGGGCACCAGCAGGCGCACTTCGGGCTGGGGACAGCGAGGGGACAGGGCTGGGGACACGCGGGGACAGGCGGGGTGGCTCTGGGGGCGGGTGGGGAATCGTGGGGACGGACTGGGGACACGTGGGGACAGTAAGG